TTGTGTGATTGAGAAGAAGCATAGAGATCCCTTTCCCGTGGGCAAGTCAGGGAGAGCCACAAAACAGTTGGAGATTGTTCACTTAGACCTGTGTTCGTTGGAGGTTCCCTCACATGGAGGTTGTAAGTACTTTATTACTTTCATTGATTATTTCAGTAGGAAAACATGGGTTTACTTTCTGAAGCAAAAGTCTGAAGCATGTGATGTTTTTAAACAATTTAAGACTTTTGTTGAAAAGCAAAGTGGTTATGAGATTAAAATCATGAGACCTGATAGAGGTACAGAATATATTGCTTGTGATAATTTTCTGAAAGAAAAGAGTATTCAGCACCAAATGACAGCTAGATACACTCCACAACAAAACGGAGTGGTTGAGAGGAAGCATAGGTCAATCATGGATATGGTGAGGTGCATGTTGAAATCCAAGAATCTGCCTAAGCCTTTTTGGGCAGAAGCTGTTGCTTGTGCTGTCTATGTGTTGAATAGGTGTCCAACTAAAAGTGTGTGTGATAAGACACCTGAAGAAGCTTGGAGTGGGAGAAAACCCTCTATCAAATATCTCAAGGTTTTTGGATGTTTGGCATATGCACATGTGCCAGATCCATTGAGAAAGAAGTTGGATGATAAAGGTGAGAAGTGCATATTCATTGGTTATAGTGACGCTTCAAAGGCTTATAAACTATACAATCCTGAAACTAAGAAGGTTGTTATAAGTCGTGATGTCACTTTTGATGAATATGGTGTCTGGGATTGGTTAGCTAAAGATGAAAGTTCAGTTGTTATTCCTGTTGTTGAAAATATTGTTGATGAGCAACCGATTCCAGATAATTTCCAGTCTCCTTCACAGCCAGAGTCGTCAGTTCGGCGATCTCAACGCGAGCGCCACTTACCAGCTCGCTTGCAAGATTATGTTTTGGGTCATGATAATGACCTGTCTGATGAAGAGATTGTTCAATTTGCTCTCTTTGCAGATTGTGATCCTTTAACTTTTGAGGAGGCTGCTACAGAAACTCATTGGCTTAAGGCGATGGATGAGGAGATCTGTGCCATTGAAAAGAATGGTACCTGGGAGTTAACAGATTTACCTCCTGGAAAGAAGCCAATTGGAGTGAAGTGGGTTTACAGAACGAAGTACAAGTCAAATGGAGAAATTGACCGTTTTAAGGCACGGTTAATAGCAAAGGGTTACAAGCAGAAACCAGGTATTGATTATTTTGAGGTTTTTGCTCCAGTAAGTAGACTTGATACAGTTCGAATGGTTATTTCTCTTGCTGCTCAAAATGATTGGAAATTGCATCAAATGGATGTCAAGTCTGCTTTTTTGAATGGTTTTCTTGAAGAAGAAATATATGTTGAGTAACCTGCGGGATTTCTGAAGAAAGGGGAGGAAAATAAAGTGTACAGGTTGAGAAAAGCTTTGTATGACTTAAAGCAAGCGCCTAGGGCGTGGTATGGTTGCATTGACACATATTTTGTTGAAAGTGATTTTATGAGATGTCCTCATGAACACACTTTGTATGTCAAATGCACGGATTCTGGTGATATTGTTTTAATCTGTTTGTATGTTGATGATCTGGTTTTTACTAGAAACAACTTGAAGCTAATCTCAGAATTCAGGGAGGCACTCATTAAGAGGTTTGAAATGACCGATATGGGCCTTATGTCTTACTTTCTTGGCCTTGATGTTATTCAGATGGATGGTGGAATCTTTATTTCACAAAAGAAGTATGCTGCTGATATTTTGAAAAAGTTCAAAATGGAAAACTCCAAACCAGCTTCAACTCCGGTAGCTGAAAAGTTAAAGGTGTCCAAAGATGAGTGTGGTAAGAATGTGAATGTTACATCTTATAAAAGCTTAATTGGGTGTTTGAGGTATCTGGTGGCAACAAGGCCAGATATTTCTTTTGGAGTTGGAATACTTAGCAGATTCATGGAGGAACCAAAAGAATCACATTGGGCTGCAGCAAAGCGAATTCTGAGATATGTCAAAGGTACAAGTAATGATGGAATTTTTTACTCTACTAATGAAACTGTGGAACTTGTTGGGTACACAGACAGTGATTGGGCTGGAGATGTTGAGACCAGAAAAAGCACATCAGGATATGCCTTCTATCTTGGTTCAGCTATATTTTCTTGGTCTTCAAAGAAGCAGCAGATTGTAGCACTTTCAACCGCAGAAGCAGAATATATTGCAGCAGCAAACTGTGCTACTCAAGCAGTTTGGCTAAGGAGAATTTTGGAGTTCTTACAACACGAGCAAGAAACACCTACGACTATTTTTTGTGACAACAAGTCAGCAATTTCGTTGTCCAAAAATCCAGTCTTTCATGGTCGTAGCAAACACATTGATATCAAGTATCACAAAATCAGAGAGTTGGTTGCTGAAAAGCAAATCAACATTGAGTATTGTTCAAGTGAATGTCAAGTTGCAGATATCTTTACGAAGCCGCTGAAGACAGAGACATTTCTCAAATTGAAGAAGGAAATTGGAATGACCAACACATCCAACTTGGTTTAAAGGAGGCAATGTTATAATAATATTATTATTAATATTATTAGTAATTAAACCAAGTCAAAGAATTTAATAAAAACAAACATAGGTGAGTCATGTATGTCAATGTGGAACATGCCTAGATTATAGGAGTAGTACATGGAGCATTAACTTTCTATTTATTAGCTTTCTCTTAGTATAAATATGTGGTGTATTTTTATTTGTTAAATAATCCCAGTGAATAAACATTATTCATTCTATTCCTCTCTCTCTTTCTCTCAATATATAAATATAATATATAAATATATTATATTTAATATATCTTATAGATATATTATATTATATTTAATATATCTTACAGTATATCAAGTATTTTCCTACTCTTCTTAGTTTGAACATTTGGACAGTGCCATTGTACTAATGATTTGAAAGTGAATTTCAATTTTGTTTCCGTTCTCCCTCCCACAGCACTTGATTAGTATGGGTTTCGCGTTTTCATGAACTTTCTCCTTTAAATTTTTGGCTCCCCTTAATTTTGCCACTTTTCTCACATTGGTGAAAAAAAGGAATAAGGTTCAAATTGGCCACTGAAAGTAACCTGAAAATGTAATTAGGCCACTGAACAAAAAAAAAATGCAATTAGGCCATTAAACACTCAAAAAATGTGCAATTGGGCCATTGAACTCTCCAAACGTATGCAATTTTACCGTATAGCAGGTTACCATCAATTTTAGCAGGTTACCTGCTTACGTGGCAGCTTAGTTGACATTTTTAATAATTTTTAATAATTAATTTTAATAATAAATTTTATAAAAAATTGGAAAAAATTAAATAAAAAATAAAATAAAGTCGTTTTTATTTTTTTTTTAATTTTTTTTAATAAAAAGTTATTATTAAAATTTATTAAAAATTAATTAAAATTTATTAAAAATGCCAACTCAGCTGCCACGTAAGTAGATAACCTGCTAAAATTGAGGGTAACCTGCTATAAGGTGAAATTGCACATTTTTGGAGTGTTCAGTGGCCTAATTGCACTTTTTTTTCGTTCAGTGGCCTAATTGCATATTCAGGTTACGTTCAGTGGCCAATTTGAACCTTATTCCTGGAAAAAATAACATGGGAGCCTTGAGGCTCCTATAAAAGGAGCCTTAAGGCTCCAATTTAAAAGTTAAGCTTGCCCATCCGTTGATGTGCAAGCTGTGAGCTAGCGAAACTGACTCTTGTTATTCAAGAAGTCGAAATGGTTCTACAATAATTTTTTTTTTAAAAAATATATATATAGATATAGAAGTGTTTTGTGGAAATCATTCTAAAAAACGCTAAGTGAAAATATTGTAAATTGCAATGTTTTTGTATTTTTAGTGACTTGGAACAAATTGTTGCTTCAAACGGTTGAATAACCAAACACTTTCTTTAGCATTTTGATCATATACTTTCTCAACCTACTGAAACACAAAGAACCAATAACGCCTCCACTAAGGCTCGAACTCATAACTTTCCAAATGGAAGTTCAACCCGGGTACCATTATGCCACATAGTCCTGGTAATCATTCAATATCTTAGTTACATTATAATTAAAAATTTTAAATTTTTACTACTTCATCTAAATTCCTTAAATTAGGAATTTTTTTATTTATAATAATTTATTCAACAATAATGGTTGAACTAAATGAACACTGAGCAAAACATTTAAAAGGATTGATATTGTTGATTCATTCATTGATCTTGTATATATGTGCATTCATTAAATATATTAGAACCCTTTGTAACAAAAATACTTTACTATTTAATTTTTTTTTTTTGAAAGGATTTAAAAAAAGTTTAGTAACAATTATAATGAATCTCATATATTACATTGTATTCATATACTATGAGTTACATATTTTATTACTTATGTATGAACTTCTCATATATTTATTTAATTATAAATATTAGACATTAACTCATTCGTGCAATGCGCATGTAAAACTAATGTTATAAAAGTCTAGTAATAACAATTCTCCTTCCCCAAGAGAAATAGGTCATTCCCAAAATATTATTTTTAAAAATAAAAAGTATTATCAAAAGAGAAATAAGTCTATTCTCAAAAATACTATTCTATTTCAGACCTATTTCTCCAACCAAACATGTTGTTAGTGATGTTAGCCCGTCATTCATAAAATTTTCCGTTATGTGCTACGTGGAGACAGTGGATGTCGTTTAGGCAATAATGGTCCTTTCTATAAAGGTGGCATCAAATTTAATGTTGATTGTGAAATTTATCCTCAAAGCTGTCCCAGCTATGTGTTTTGTGGCCTCAAATTTAAATTACTTTCTTGTCCTCATCCCCCACCATCCACAATGTAATTTTCATGCGAAACTGGAGGAATGGGGAGATCACAGTCTCACATGGATTTTTCAACTCATCAATAATTCACCACTTTTTACACATTTGCCCCACACCATTCGCTAAACTCTGGTGTGGCAGCAAGGGAGAGGTTAGTCTTTACACACCCGGATTTTAACCAGGAAGTGCCAGAGCGCGAGAAGCGGTTAAGAGTTGGAAAGTTGCAGCAAAGCAAAGCAACGCAGAGGCAGAGTGTGAGTGGTGAAGAGATACCAACAAATTTGATAAAGACCACATTTTTTGTTACATTATGGCACTATTTGGAGTCCCCATTTTTTTGTGTGAACATTATCTTCCCAATATCTTCTCTTTCTGGTTCTCAACAAAGCCTCCAAATTCAACACACTTCCCTATAGCTGTTACCCAGCTCTACTGTTCTTGCCACTTAAACATGCAAATATAATCTCCAGGTTCTTTTTCTTTATTCATTTAGTATTGCTAGTTTGGGTTCTTTTCAATTCAATCCCTACTTTCTTTTTTTATCTGTGTTGATTAATGCTAGTTTGGGTTGTTTTCAATCTTTAATTCTTTTGTTTATTGATTAATGCTAGTTGGGTAGTTTTCAGTGTTTACAATTGCTTTGTGTTGATTAATGCTACTTTGGGTTGTTTTCAGTCTTTATTCAGATTGAGCTCTGCAAAGGTTTTGCCATTTTCATGTAGTTCAGCATTAATTTCGCTATTTTTCAACCCATTATATATTTTCCCAATTTGAGTCTCTTTCAGAAAAAGCTTTGCTATTATATTTCTTCTCTAAATTGATGCTTGGAATCTTGAATTTTGTGGTGAGTCTATGATTGGTCCTGTCCGGTTGAAGTTGTTCTGTTTGCTATATATAGGCTAGTTAAAGGTTGTGTATTTGGTGTAATTTAGTTGGAAGAGAGTAGGGTAGATAGGTGTTTTAATTTGTTTGCAAGGTTGTGGGGATATGTACTTATTGTGGTTCGTTTTAGTGAAATGGAATCTTCAAGTGCTGCTGATAAATACCAAAGGCAATCAATTGAGGTGTTTGAGCCAGCATCGAGTCGTGATATTAGTAGGAAAGAGGGTGTGGAGGTGAGAGAGCTTAAAGTTGAAGGAGAGGTGTCTGAGAATTCGATATCCAACAAGGATCCGATTGGGAAGTGGATGGCTTTTGAAGCGGAGACTAGCAAAGCTGGGAGTGATGTTAAAAGAATCGAATCTAGCATTGCACAAAGGACTGCAGAATGGGGATTAACGGTGAGGATGGATGTGGGGGAAGGTAGCTTCCATGCAATTCCAAAGATTTCGTTTGGAGAAGGGGAAAGAAACAAGAACTCGTTGGAGAGGTTCTCGACAGCTGAATCAACAAGGACATCAGAGTCGTCAAATTATGGAACGGATATGCCTCGTGTATCTCAGGAACTTAAGGATGCTTTGGCAACACTTCAGCAGACATTTGTTGTCTCCGATGCCACTAAACCAGATTGTCCTATTATGTATGCTAGCAGTGGCTTCTTTACAATGACCGGTTATTCTTCAAAAGAGGTTGTTGGAAGGAATTGGTAAGGGTCACTTCTCCCTAAACAATTTTGTCTTCATAAGCTCATCTCCTTATTGTTCCCCGAATTGTTTTTGTGCAGCCGCTTCCTGCAGGGCCCTGATACAGACCCGAACGAAGTAGACAAAATACGGACCGCTGTAAAAACCGGGAAAAGCTACTGTGGCAGGCTCTTGAACTACAAGAAGGACGGGACTCCTTTTTGGAATATGCTAACCGTCACTCCCATAAAAGACGAGAATGGAAACACAATCAAATTTATCGGGTAAGACGTGTGGTCTCCTTTTCTTCTAGCTCTTGAGGTATAAAATTGGATCACATATTCAGTGGTCTACTGGCACCAAGTTGCTCCCCGGACTATTAGCTCTTTGTGCTTCAGTAGGTTGAGAAAGTAGTTATGAACATATACTACATTGTAACAGAGTCAGTAGTGCTAAAAATAGTTTCACGCTCTTTGAAATGATAAAGTATATACTTAATGCAGTGCAAATCTTTTTTCACAGAATGCAGGTAGAGGTAAGCAAATACACTGAAGGAGTTGTTGACAAGACATTGCGACCGAATGGATTGCCTCAGTCATTGATTCGATATGATGGTGAGCTCCTCAGACATTGCGACCGAATGGAAATCATATTTCAGCATTGGTAAAACTTACATTCTTTTTTGGTTTCAGCTCGCCAGAAGGAAAATGCTTTAGGTTCGATTACTGAAGTTGTACAAACCGTAAAGAATCCACGATCAAGTGCAAAATCTACAAGTCAGGATGCAAAGCAAATGGAGTTTATGCTTCCTAGATTGGCTGAAACTGAAAGCATTGGTACACCTAGTTCACAAACCCCTCAATGGGATCCCAATTTATCTCGGCAGGACTCTGATAAAAAGTCTAGAAAATCAACACGCGTTTCTTTGATGGGGTGAGTCTTTTTCATTTACTGCCATATTACTCGATATAACTTGATATAACTTCAATCCCGAATTCCTCAGTAGTTTTGAGTAGGATCGAGCTTTGCTTGAAATGGAGCTTAGCTTTCTGCAGGTCCAAAGGAAGGTCTTCAAGCAGTGCAGGCCCGACCAAAAGCCAACAAATTACAGAGCCTGAAATTTTAATGACGGAAGAGATACTTGAAATTTGGGAGCGAGCTGAAAGAGAAAGGGATATACGCCAAGGGATTGACCTTGCAACCACACTGGAGCGAATTGAAAAGAATTTTGTGATTACAGATCCTAGAATTCCCGATAATCCAATTGTAAGACCAACCCGCAATTTAACTAATTTACATTCTCATGAGTTCTGTTAACCATGCATCATTATATTCCCGTAAAACTGGATCCTTTGCATGCAGATATTTGCATCCGATAGCTTTCTTGAGCTGACAGAGTACACACGTGAAGAAATTTTGGGAAGAAACTGCCGGTACAAATAAAAACATTGCATACTTGTTTAATTTTGAAGCTCAGTTATGTTTCAACTTTCAAGTATTAGTGACTTAAGTGTTTGAATTCATATCAAACTACCGTTTTTTTCTTAGAATTTCCCAGTAACAATGGCATCTAATAGAGAACTATGATCCAACAGATTTCTTCAAGGGCCTGAAACGGATCAATCAACTGTTCAAAGGATAAGAGATGCCATCAAAGAACAAAGAGAAATAACGGTCCAGTTAATTAATTATACTAAGAGTGGTAAGCTATAAGTCTTGGTTGCAATGCTAAGAGTTCCAAATTTTTACTTCCTAGAACGAGTTTCACAGCAATTTTCTTTGCACACCTAATTGTCAGGAAAAAAGTTCTGGAATTTGTTTCACTTGCAACCAATGCGTGACCAGAAGGTAGAATTCTTTGTCTAGTTTACGTAAAATATTTATACGTAAGTTGATAAGATTACTTCATTTGGCTGCTGACTCGAATCTTGCATTTGCAGGGAGAATTGCAATACTTCATTGGCGTTCAGTTAGATGGAAGTGATCATGTAGAACCACTTAGGAACCGCCTCTCAGAGCAAACTGAGCTACAAAGTGCTAAGTTGGTACGTATTCCATTATTCCCTGCAGATTCAATCACGATAACAAATCTTTTGCTTTTCGCATTGGAGAGAACTGATTGTTTTAGTGACTATACAATTTTTTTTGTTTCCAGGTAAAAGCTACCGCAGAAAATGTTGATGAAGCTGTTAGAGAACTTCCTGACGCCAACTTGGTAAGGTATTCCTTACACTCTGAATTGGATTTCGATTTCTTTTCTAGATGGTGTCTAATTCGTTGATGATTGATGCAAATTCTCTACCGGGCCACTTTCAGAGACCAGAAGACTTATGGTCTATGCACTCTCAGTCTGTCTTTCCTAGGCCTCATAGCAAGAACAGTACTTCATGGGCAGCAATACAAAAGGTAACGATAACCCGAAGTCCATAATACATAGTACACATATCACTTTTGTTCATTGCTGTGTGTCCAGAGAGACGAATTTATAGAGTGGTCTGTCAATCCTGCACTTTATGATAATTATGGTTTGAAAATCATTGTTTTTTACTACTGGCTTCTCTTCTTTTTCCCCCATTCGTGAGTGTGTTTTTTAAACTATTCCATATATTATGCGATTTTATTTAACATTGCAGATCACTGCAACTGGTGAAAAAATTGGCCTCAATCATTTTAAACCTGTGCGGCCATTGGGATGTGGAGATACTGGAAGGTATATTTTTATATTGTTCCAGGATGAGTTATTCCTTTAGGATTATCAATGTGGTCTCTGTCAAAAACATGTTGGTTTAAGGAAACTTTGTTTTTATTACTCCAATTTTTTTGTTGGCTGCAGTGTCCATTTGGTGGAACTAAAAGGTACAGGTGAACTCTATGCTATGAAGGCAATGGATAAATCCATAATGCTCAACCGCAACAAGGTATGAAAGCATATTTGAGAGGACTTAGTTAAAATGATATTCACTCCATGACTCCCCAATACCCTGTAACTATTGCCAAGAAGTTTCTTTCCTCATTAACTGTTCTCCATAATGCGAAAAACCCAACGTGGCTCGATTTTACAGGTTCATCGAGCATGCATCGAAAGAGAAATCATTGCTCTCCTTGACCATCCTTTCCTTCCAACACTTTACTGCTCCTTTCAGGTTTTCATTTATCTAAAATATAGTCTTTACCATGTTTTAAAATTTACATAAAAATCATTTATCATATCGACATCTTTGTCTCCACCAGACGTCTACACATGTCTGCTTGATAACGGACTTCTGTCCTGGAGGAGAGTTATTCGCATTGCTTGACAAACAACCCATGAAAATGTTTAAAGAGGACTCTGCGAGGTACTTTAATATTGTTATATCAACTGAGATTGGCTCTATTATAATCTAAGATCGGGTCAATGTCCCTCAACTGGGATATAATGCACATGGGTCAAACCACACTAAAAATTGAATCCAATCAATTAGCTAGTCTAACCCATGGTCTTATAAGCAGATATCTTTCTCCCTTGTTTGTCAATGTGAGATTTAATTTGTTTTGTTATCCAGGTTCTATGCTGCAGAGGTTTTAATTGGCTTGGAATACCTTCACTGCTTAGGTAAGCTTGATGTTACCTTAACATATGACTTGAATTAATTCATGGATGTTTTGAGGTGAAAAGTTTATCTGTTTCCTGCCAACAGCTAGAAGGGTTTGCAGAAAGGAAAAGACAACCTAGAAGCATAAATTTGTGCTTAACAACAACTAGTTGTTGATATTCGTTAATGTTTGTTTGTCTCACATTACAGGAATCGTATACAGGGATTTGAAACCTGAAAACATTCTAATTCAGGCTGATGGGCATGTTGTGCTAACTGACTTCGATTTATCCTTTAAGACGACATGTAAACCCCAAGTATGTAACAGTTTCCTCAGCTACATTTCTTCTTTTATGTAATATTCTACACGACACTAGTAACGTTTATTTCTTGCAATAGGTAATAAAGCACGCTCCTCCCAAAGGTAGAAGGCCATCTAAGAGCACTCCGCCACCAACATTTGTTGCAGAACCAGTTTCGCAGTCGAATTCATTCGTTGGGACTGAAGAGTACATTGCTCCAGTATAGAATCCCCATTTTCGTCTTGAATCTCATTGCAGTTCATATTCAGGAGACTTACTCCCTATTGAAATTTAACAAGCTCGTCTGATATGCTTATAAATGACTTAAATTTCAGGAAATTATAACCGGTGCTGGTCACAGCAGTGCTATTGATTGGTGGGCTCTAGGTAACATATCTGATCATTTACACTGACAATCTGAACTAGTATATTAATTTGTTCTCCGTCTATCTGGATTTAGTCCAAGAACCTTTCTGTTCTATTGCAGGTATTTTGCTGTATGAGATGTTGTATGGGCGCACGCCATTTAGAGGAAAGAATAGGCAAAAGACATTTGCCAACATCTTAAACAAAGATCTTACCTTCCCAAGCAGCATTCAGGTAGGCCCTGATACCTAAACTCTGATACTAAGATTAGGCCAAGGTCACTCAACTAGGCTATAATGCACATGGGTTAAACCACACTAAAAGACTAAATCCAATTCATTAACTAGTCTAATTCTTGACCTTACAAGCCTATATATTCTCTCTTCAATGTGGGACTCTTAACACAGGTTTTACATAACTGGCAAGACTATGCCTGGCAAGCAGCTAATGATTGTTTGATGTGATGAAATATTGCAGGTGAGCCTGGCTGCAAGGCAATTGATTCACGCATTGTTAAATAGAGATCCTGCATGCCGTTTGGGATCAAATAGCGGTGCAAATGAGATCAAACAACATCCTTTCTTCCGGGAAATAAACTGGCCTCTCATCCGATGCATGGTATTAACTCTTCCATACCTTGTCCATGGTATTAGCTCTAGTTAGTAAACACAACTATAATCTAATCTGAATTGTTGGGCGGAGGCCGGTAATGGCTAAGTCCAGCACCCGGTGGCTAGGAGATTATAGGGTGGAGGCCTAAAGACCAAGTCGGGCCAAGTCCAGCACCCTGTCTCTCGAAAATGTGTGGCGATATAAGGAAATAAAGTTGTGCCTTCACTACTAGTTATAACTTTTGGTGTAATGGTAAGCGCTTGATCCTATCAAGTGATATCAGAGCCAAGTCACGGGTTCTATGAGAGCTATAGCTTTTAGCATAGTGGTATGAACATTTTCCTGTTTTACTGCAGAGCCCACCTCCACTAGACGCGCCTCTTCAGTTAATTGGAAAGGAAACAAACACTAATGATGTAGACTGGAATGATGAGGGAGTGCTTGTTCATCCCATGGACTTCTTCTAGAGGTGTATATCTACTCATTTGCATACTTAGATTCTGTATCCCTGTTAAGTCCTTTTAATAACTTACCAAAGTTGCCAACTGTGCAGGGCTTTGTTTTCCCAAGATGGGGACTTTGTTCTACTCTATGCATGAACTACTATATAATTGCATGTTCCCACAAAAGAGGAACATCATTAGACGAAGTTGAGGAGTTTTACATTGTACAGAGCTGATTTTAGCAATGTTAATCTATATATACTCCATTTTTCTTCTTTCAAGCTTTATTTGGTTCTCCCTCTTCGAAGGACTTGAAGAAGAGATGTAAAGTAGCCGGCAATAAACAGTAGATATCCACTACCGTCTGGTCATTTTAATGAGTAAAAACTGAAACCTCAACTTTCGAAGCACAACTATTATAACTCATTGTAGTTAATGCCTAATTTAGTCCTTTGACGGATTTTCTTGATCTAGTCCTAAATAATTTTTTATGCTTAATTAGGTCTTTGATTTTGACAATTTTATTCAATTGAATCCTTGGTTGTTAGAATTAAGGACTAAATCAAGAAAAGCTACTATATATAGTCAATGAATAAATTGGGTAAAGCCATTATAGTCAAAGACTAATGGGCAAATTATATCGTGCACCACAGTGCATAATCAATTATACACCGGGCTTCAAAACGACGTTATTTTGTTTAATGAAAACAAACGACACCCATTTTGCGTTGTTCCGCAAAAAGTAACTTTGTTATTTAGTTTCATTTTGTATACACTGCAGTTTCAGTTCAACACAATTACAGTTTCATTTCGATATAACTACAGTTTCACTCGATATTTATACACTCAAATATGTGAAAATGTTATTTAATTTTATTTTATATACACTATAGTTTCATTAAAACACAACTACATGATCATTTCGATATAACTACAGCTTCATTGCACAATATACACTCAAATATGTGAAATGCTATTCAGTTTCATTTTATATACACTACTGTTTCATTTCACCACAACTACAGTATCATTTTGATATAACTGCAGTTTCATTTGAGAGACAGTGTTAGTTTAGATATACTGTAGTGTAAGTCGGTAATTAACACCGTACGTTCCGTTAACAATAACGGCGCGTCGTTTCTTTACTTAAAGAAACGGCGCCTTTTGACCGCGGTGCACGTGCACCGCGGTCCACGATACAACGACTGAGACTAATGTGGCTAAATCTACTATAGCCAATGACTAAATTGGGTATTATTAATAGATGTGAAATTATCAAACTCTCTTAAGAGATGACTCAATTGGATAAAATTATCGAAGTTGAGGAACTACTTAAGCATAAAAAAATCATTTAGGACTAAATTAAAAAAATCACTAAAATATTTATTAAATTGACTACAAAAGTTTGAGCGGGAAATATGAAATAGGAGGATTTTGCTTTTATATACAGTATAGATTACTTAGTGAAATCCTCCTTTGAGTTTAACAAGAAGAGTGGAGTAAGAGTTTTACGAACCCCACTATAAATAAATAAATAAATAAATATATATATATATATATATATATATATATATATATATATATATATATATATATATATAAAATTCTAATCAGGTGTGAATAATTTGTTAGGTGTGAATGTGTGGTTGCTTGCTGGCCATTGATTGTAGACGATCTCACGGTTATGAGTTACTGTGCATTTTTTGCCTTCTTTGGTTGCACAGCAATATTATTTGTTGTGCTTTCGGCCGTTTCTTATGCACTGCATTTCCAGGGTGGGTATTATGGTAATCTTGTTACGTTATTCATTTATTTCCGTATTTATTCGTTTCCTTTAAACACGGGGGATTGGCGCCTTTAAATTTCTCGCCGACCGCGTTTCTGGCCGGCGTTTGCTTTTCGTCTGCAGTCTGCTCGTGCATGCGTCGCTGCCCTCTTGCGGAACTGCTGTGCACTCTTCGCGTCTCCCAGCCGTGCTTTTAGTTTCCTTAATAGTAATTCGCCGGTCTCGAATGAGGACTGGTTTGTTGTTCTTTACTTTGTTATTCCCTTTTTTTTTTACTTGGTGCTCGTGCAATGTTATTTAGCCATCTTTTCCCTACAGTTTGATATTTTTACTTGGGTTGTTGAACCTGTATGCACAGCACCACTATGCGTTTAGGGGGGGGGGGGGGGGGCAAGGGACTGGGAAGGGTACAGAGGGGCAATGAATTGTGTGAATTTCCTGTTGAATTTAGTTTCGAAGCAGTTTTTACAGACCTATGTGCTAAAGTGTTTAGGCTTGTGTGTTTATGCGTATGAGCATTTTAAGGGATTAAAGGAGTCATTCTTTAGGGGTCTTGTGCGTATACTGTTAAGCAGCAAAAATATTGTGAAGATGATGGTGCACGGCTGCTTAACGAATAGTAATATATCCGTAATCAAATTGTTTTTTACGATACATTGTATCCAAATTTCAGTCCGAACTCAATTTCATTTTTATTCGTTTGGTTACTATTTCAAATTTGAATTCTTCCCCAATGAATGCGGTGGGTTAATATCAATATGATTAGGAGGGTGTAGGATAGCAACACTGTAAGTAGTGTGGTGGTTTTTTGGTGTGCAAATCTGAATATAACTTTTTACGGATGTGTGAGCGTTTTTTTTTTTTTTTTTTTTTTTTTTTTTGCACTACTTCTGGAAAAAAAAAAAAAAAAAAAAAAAAAAAAGTGGATATGTGAAGGGGGGGAGTAGATATGTGCATTAGTACGTATCACCACTGTAAGCAATTGGTGTTATGAAATATACAACAGTAACAAAAAATTGTCCAGTTCTATCTTTATTTTTATGATGCTCGTGCAGTGCTGCTAGAGGTAGTAATATGTTCAATTTTGGGGATGTGGCCCAATTTGTGGTATATATTTTAGTTCTCTGTTTTGATCTGATGAATTCCCTACAGGTCTGTAACAATGCATGTGTTCACCTATATCAAAGCTAGTTTGTCTTTTTTTTAACACATTGTATCTAAAACACAAACCTAACTTATTATTGTGCAAAGCGGACAACAGTACAGCGTATGGATATATTTTATGAAACAACGTGCGTGTTCAACAGCTTTCCAGTCCATCCAATGGATGCAGGAAGACTCTTAGGAATTACCCGGGGCCAAACGCCACGCTGTCTACATAGAACAACTGCAAAAACAAATCAGGGAAAAATTGAAAATAATAAGGCACCTACATACAACTACTCGATATTGGTATGCCGTTTAACAACTCAAACTGAAAAAAGAGTCTCCCACCATTAGAAATTGGAGTGGCCCCGTAAAACGTTGCATCTTGTCCTCGGCCCAGTCAGGGTGCGTTTTGACCAGCCGTTTAAGCATATAACCACACCAATCCAAGCCGTTTATCTTGTTCACATCTTCAAGATGGTGTAGGAACCGCTGGTTGACGTAACCATTCTGTGTGCTTTCGATTAAAACAGCCACACAGAAGTGACGCTTGAACCAAACTCCACCGTCCTTGCAGGACAACATCACCTAACATACCTTCTTCAATGTAATTGTGCTGTATCGCTTTCCTATTTGAGATTGCTAATCCCGTAATTCCTGCCCCACTTTTTGACTTAGCCGGCATACTATCTCTGTTGACCCGAGTGGGAGCCCAAGAACAGCACTAACATCTTCTCTTGTGATCTGAAGAGCAGTCTCGCGCTGGACATTAAGTGTGAGGTTGGTGGGGTTGAGCACACTGACCAGCCAACAGCCCAGTCGCAATGGAATCTCATTAACTTCTAAACGCAAAATAGCTCTCATTCCCATGTCGTTTACTGCATGTCTTTGCTGAGCGTTGAATTCGTTAAAAGCATGAATTAGGTCCTTGGGCGTGCATCGGGTGTTGAATGAAGGGAACTTAAACTCCTCTAACGGGGATAGTTCAGGTTCGGGAGCGTGATCCCTCCTACCCTTGGCCTGACGCTCTGGATTAACATCTGTAGTCCTTGTTATATTGCGTACACTACGTCCGGAGCGTGTAGTAATGCACTCATCACCCGCAATGCCGTCGAGCAGCCGTTTAGACCCTATAACAAAATAACCAAAGGGGAAAATGTGAGAGTTTATAACTAGTAACAATAAAAACAGCAGGGGATAGGAACAGTATGTGTTGGTCCCGATAGAGTGTAGTGAGAGTCTAGAGGGGGGGGGGGGGGGGGTGAATAGACTCTTTTCGTATTATGCCCTAAAAACTACCTTTCGGTGTTTTGGCGCAGCGGAAATGTCAAATACGATTATTTGCTTTGCACGAGTTTACGTTGTAAAGAAAACTTTCGGTAATGATGATGAAGGCAATCTGAAAGGCGTAAGTAAAGAGATAAAGGGACTAGAGATTTTATAGTGGTTCGGCTAACGTTGCCTACTCCACTCTTCTTCCACAACTTATGAAAGGATTGCACTATCACTCGTTAGTACAATGACACAAAGACTTCCTTGATCACTGAGCCGGACAGCCTTCGTAGGTTTTTCAACTCCTCGAGTTTACTCCGCCTCTATCAACTTCTTCTTCAGAGTTGAGGTTGGTAGAAAATGATTTCTGATTTCTCCAACTTGATGAAGTCTTGACTGTGAGAGATGATTGCTTCGTACAAATGGCAAGACTTCTTTAAGGTGTAAGATGATGATCAATGAACTTCTTCAAATATCTTAGCACCTTAACACTGGTTCACAAAAGCTTGAGAGAGCTGAGAACGTTTAAGAGCTTTTGCGTATGTATAGATCGAGTGAAAATCAAACCAGCACCTTCTTAATTGGTGAATGTGGGTTTATATAGGTGATGAAAATTCATCCGTTGGAGGGAGATGAAATTTTCGAACCTTTTATCTAGTGGATAAGGACCGGGGAGCTTCATGCATTAAGTGCTCCATTAATGAGGTTGTACCATGTAGCCGTTGAAGGTATGGAGAGCATTAGGGTTTTGTCCTTTAGCTCCAGGAGATGGTACATCTTCATTTAATGCTCCTTGGTAAGCGTGTCCCACAAGTTGAGGTCCTTATTTTCCTAGGATGTTGTCAAATCAGACAGAGAAAACATTCTTCTTGTTGTTGAAGAGAAAAGAATGCTTGGTGAGAATCGTCTTTAATAAATCTGTCCTTTCGAGATAGTTGACAACTCCTGATGAATTCTCGTTGCTGTTTATCATGCCTTGTGTCTTCTTTCGTCTTGGAGACCCTATCAACTAGACATAACTCATTTTCGTGTGTTTGTCTAGCTTAACACGAATTACAGGGGAGTTATGGCAACTTTCGTTTAGGACGAAAGTAGCGATCGAAAAAGCTAATAGTTAGGGGTCTACTTTCTACATTACATTGGTATCATCAAAATCCTAATACAAGGTTCCTAACAGTATGCTATGTGTGTGAGGTTTAAAAAAACAAACGGGAAAGGATGAGATACTCAACTTTAATCAACTTGTTGTTAGACTAAAATATCACATGCATTACTATAATATGTGATAATAGGATCGACTAACCTCCAGCCATAGTTCTTGATACGGTTGAGCGATCCGGACTGCTGCAGAGATGACAAGTATTTTGTCTCTCACTTTACTCAGCTCTCTCTAGATGGTGTATGAGGTATGTAATGTGAGCAGTGAGAGGACTAGTGACCTTATATAACCACTGGCCATCATTGTGGTTGATTGTCTTTAGGTCTCCTAAACCCTAACTAGACTCCTAATCATAATGGTAGTCTAGTTATTAGGTTATTAGTGTTACACCACATATCAAGTACTGAATATTATCATAACTTATCCTAATGTTATAATAATAGTAACGGATAAACGTTACACTTGTAACACGCACAAGCAACCAGGATTGCACAACTAACTACACACACCTCAATCCTGTTCACAGAGAGTTGGCAATGCAGAGTTGCAGTCTAGGAATACATGGCAAAACTGTGTATAGCAGTATGTCAAAAGCAAAAAGTTTTAAATATTTATATAAAAAAAACTCTTTTTTTTTTTTAAAAAAAAAATAACCCTCAATCATTGATCTATATAGGTAGGTAGATAGATTAGTCATCAACACTTTATATATGAGAGCATGATCACATGAACCCTCTAAGAGAAACACCCCCTTGTAATCCGATCCCAATTTACTTAGTATAAAGTGGTGCCGAAATTAAGAAACTGATCTCTCACTACATTATTATGCAAATTAATTCATCTTTCACATGCAAGACATTCACAGTCAGATTGCTCCAATCCGAGTCGCACACACGCGTCAAAAAATTTTGGGAGACGACATACCTGGGACGGTGGAACTGCCGGCGGTTCGGGTGCTCGGAGTCTGCTTACGGCTGATGCCCGACATTGCGTCTGGTAGACCCGGGGCACACACAGCTGGGGTTGGCTTCGCTGGGGATTCTTCGAATCGCAGGAGATGCCGCTCATACCACACCAACGACGGAATTGATTTCTCGACACTGGCTTTCGCAGACCGGCCGTCGGAGCCACCGGAGGGCAAAGCGCGGGCATCGAGGGTTTATGTACAGTAGACAGTGGTCTGAAATAAAAACGCCCATGGAGGGATCTTTGCAATTAACGTTGATTGAATAATATTACACAATTAACCCGGAACAAAAAATTTCTTTCCTAAGCAAGCGTGAAAATCCCGTAAAAAATGGATTGCACAGTTACAATCCCAGCCGTGCAGTGCTAATGTCTAACGGTGTAAATAAGACCACACAACCACACCTAACACTTTGTTCACACCTTATTTCCATAATATTTGTCATCTTTGATTATGGCAAAGATTCCAATTTAATTCTAACCAAAATTAACACATTAATACAATTACTTTTAAACCCCCCTATTTAAAATATGCCCTATTTACATTATATTCCTCATTCAATCTCATCCATCTATTACAACTTTATAAATAGATGGGATCTCATCTCACCATCTCATTTAATAAGGGGGTCTCATGGGATCTGCACCCTATATATATATATATATATATATATATATATATATATATATATATATATATATATATATATATATATATAAGGTATGGTCAGGCGCGCTTATTGGCGCACGTGCCCGTGTGAGTGACTGCTGTGTGCATAGCCCATGCTTCCCCTAATATTTCTCTTTCTTTGGGAAGAGAAATATCTCAACTCTTGCAGAACAATTATTTCTTGAAATAACCTCACCCCACACTTGTAAATATCCCCACCCAAAATATTTAATCTGACATTAACCCATTATTCTCCTTTACTATGGATGCTCTATGAGCATGTTGATTCAAGAAATAGGCCTAGAATGGAAAAGTATTCTTGAGAATAGACGTATTTCATTTTTTATACTATTTTTTTTTATTCTAAGGAACATTATTGTTCCTCTGAATGAGCTAGGAAAATAGTTATTATTAGACCCCTTGGCAGGGATGGAGCCAAATGGGGCGCAGGGGGGTCAGCTGCACCCCTCACCCCACCTCTACCCCATATATAATCTTTGTATGTATATATGTATATATAGTATAGGTTTTAGTATTAGTATAAAAAAACTAGTAAATATCAATAAGTATGGAGTTAGATTAGTTGGTAAGGCATGTGTTTGTTAATGGGAAAGGCCTTGGGTTTAAATCATTGCATTAACATATTTTTGAGTCTTTCTCCATGACTTCAACACGGTCACTTTTTTAATATTTAATACGTGTAATTTATAATGTGTTTTCGATGTATTTAATATGTGTAATATAATGTAATTTATAATTGTGCGAAAAATAAAACACATCGAAACTTTATGAACTCATAAAGTTTCGATGTGTTTTATTTTTCGCACATATCCAATAATATTTACAACTATATTTCTTAAGTAATGGTTATATATGTTTCGTTTTTACTGGAAAAAATTTCTGAATCTGTCCTACTTCTTTCGCCCCCCACTCAATCCAATTTCTAGCTCCGTCCCTGCCCCTTGGTATAACCTATACCTAAGTTCTTAGGAATAGACTAATTTTCTTATTTACTACTTTACCTTTAATTACACCTAAAATATGTTTAGACTTTTTTCTCCATAGATTCAAGCTTCTCAACAAGGTAACTTTCTTAGCTTTCTTGGAAACTTATCCAACATTGGGACCTTCAACTCTACTTTCTTAGAGTTTCCATGAAACTTCAAATTTTTTAGGCGTTTTAGCATTTGAATATTGTTTTTTTTTTTTTTTTTTTTTTTGAGAAGGCATTTGAATATTGTTAAACAAGCAAGCTTAGCTATTTTCTTTTTCTCTCGAGAAGTTTTGATAAATTTTCACAAACATTTAATTTTTGGAGTTTGAGGGTGTTGTTGAAGATTTCGCTTGTGCAACTTCCTAGTGATATGGTAGAAAGTGTGCGGATATCTGATTTTTCACAGCTAGGTTTGCCTGCTTTAATTTGGTAGGAAAGAGTAATTGCGTAGAGGTGTTGGTGTGAAAATTAATAGAAATGAACAACAAAATTGAATGTCTAAAACGTATATAATTGATTTCAGAGTCACAAGCAAATTCACACTGACATGACAAATAAAGCAGTACATCAAAGAAAAATGATAAATAAGTCTTACTCCTTGACTGTCATACCAAAATACCCTATGAAAGTCATGAGAAAGTAATCACAAATTGGAAATAGAAAAATAGTCTCCCAACAATATGAAATCACTAACTCGCACTTAAATTGGCTTTCAACATGAATGTGTGCCACTCAATGCTTGGGAATTCATCGAACATCGAACCACATGTCTGAGCAACCACAATAAGAAATTAAAGTTACTATAATTGTGGCAATCAAGCTTAATCCAATGAAAATTTAAGGGAAAATTGTAATTTATGTCCTTTATAATATGTCAATTATCAATGTTATTTCTGAATTGTTAGTGGTGTAATGTTGCCCCTCAATTTTTAAAACGGTACATATAGTGTCTTTCCATAGTGTAAATGTTGTCCCTTATTTTTCAAAACGGTACATATATTGCCCCTCCCATACAGTACGAGAGGGGCAATATATTATATATGTACTGTTTTGAAAATTGAGAGACAACGTTTACATCACTAATAATTCAATTGTGACATTGATAATTGGTATATTATGGAAGGGCATAAATTTCAATTTTTTCCAAAATAATAATAATAATAATAATAATAATAATAATAATAATAATAATAATAATAATAAAATGGTGGTTTTAGTCATTAATTATATTTAAATTGTAGGTTCAGTCCATAAATTATTGCTCTATACAACTTTTCTTCATTAATTATGTTGAAAGTGGTTGTTTCAATCCATTACTTATAAATTTTGTTAACATTAAAAATTTATTTTGATTTGCCAAATTATTAGAGGATAAATTAGTCATTTTGTAAAAAATTTCTATATATATATATATATATATATATATATATATATATATATATATATATATAGAATCGCACTCAGGTGCGAATGCTTCGCCCAGGCGCAAAATAGGAATGGATTCTGTTCGTCCACGTGTCCAGATCTAATGGATGAGAAACACTGATTTTTTTAAAAAAGGCGGTGGCATTTTCGTAAATAATTGAACATCGAAGTGCAAGTAAAATGTATTACAAGTGCATGTAAAATGTATTATCAGTGCAAGTAAAAATTTACACTGAGCATCAATACTTAGTTGCACCTATAGTTCTAAGTAGTTGCACACATAGTTATAAGTAATTGCACCTAGGTGTATGAATGTTTGCGAGTGGTTTTCAGGGGTATTACTACCCGCTGAACTCAGATCAATGAATGTTAACAAGGCAAAATTACATGCACTTATAGGTGAAAGTAGGTGCACCTATAGTTATAAGTAGTTGCACCAATAGTTATAAATAGTTGCACAAATAGTTATAAGCACACCCAGGTGCATGAATGTTTGCGGAAAGTGAATGCTAACAAGGCAAAATTACATGCACTTATAGGTGAAAGTAGGTGCACCTATAGTTATAAGTAGTTGCACCTATAGTTATAAATAGTTGCACATATAGTTATAAGCACACCCAGGTGCATGAATGTTTGCGGAAAGTGAATGCTAACAAGGCAAAATTACATGCACTTATAGGTGAAAGTAGGTGCACCTATAGTTATAAGTAGTTGCACCTATAGTTATAAATAGTTGCACATATAGTTATAAGCACACCCAGGTGCATGAATGTTTGCGGGAAAGTGAATGCTAACAAGGCAAAATTACATGCACTTATAAGTGAAAGTAGGTGCACTTGTAAGTGATTTTACTTGCACTTCGATGTTCAATTATTTACGAAAATGCCACCGTATTTTTTTTTAAAGTTATTAGATCTGGACACGTGTCGCGCGCTGATTCGTTCGCATTTCCCTCCTGAGCACTTATTCGCACCTGAGTGCATCCCTATATATATATATATATATATATAAGCTTTTCACATTCATGATTTTAAGTGAATGTTGAGTTTATTGTAATGTTGATTACACGATAATATCTTAATTAGTCTACAATTTAGGCATAATTAATGGACTAAAACCGTCATTTTTTCTCTTTTTTTAAAAAAGAAAATATTACGAAAACGAATCTTTAGTCTCTTTATATATTTTATTTTTTACACTTTGAGAAAATATATAATATAAATTTATACATTACACTCACATATCTTTATTATGTAAGAGCAATTGAGTCATTTTACTAATTATTTTCAATAACTTATTTTTCACTAATAAATAATATAATCAATATTTTAAATAATTTTTTTTTTCATAAAATTTAAATTCAATTCATTCTCAATTATTTTCAATACACTAAATCAGCTGCTAAATTGTTTATTAGGAACAACATAATTCTCAAAATTGTTATCGCATTGCAATTTTAATTATATATGTCACATTGCAAGTTTAATCTTTAAATTAGAGATTTTTTTTTAATTTTTTTTTTTTGCTTTCTAAAAATTATTCATTATGAGAAGGTCAAAACCAATTAAAAATCCAAAAATGATTTATACATGCATTAAACACTTAAGAACTAATTTTATTATATAATAATAGGAAAAATTCATATTATATTTTCGTGTAATCAACATTACAATAAACCCAACATTTACGTCAAATTATCAATATAAAAAGATTATTTTGTTATACTTGGAACATTTTTACATAATGACTAGTTTGTCCTATAATAATTTGACAAATTAAAATAAAATTTTAATTTTAACAAAATTTATAAGTAATGAATTGAAAGAGTCATTTTAATTTCAACATAATAATATATATATAAAAGTAAAATCCTCCTAGCAAGTTTTCCCCCCAAAACTTAGGGGCATTTATGTAATCTAATAATAATAGTATAATAATAATAATAATAATAATAATAATAATAATAATAATAATAATAATAATAATAAATAAATCATTATACTTTCCTTTTAAATTAGTATTTTCTACTTATAAATACAAATTTATAATTCCTAGCCTTCCCATCATTTCCTTCTCCACATCGGTAAGGCTTCTCCACCCCGTATCTTCTCCATCATTTCATTGACTTTTGTTAATCATCCTGTGATCTTCCACAGTTGAGGCTGATACGTGATTTGCACGGGTGAGGTTTTCATTATCTTAGTTTTTTTTTTTTTCTTTTTGGATTTTGTTTTGTTTTGTTTTGGAGTTTCCGATATTTAAATAAGAAAAGTGGTTTGTAATAAAAATGTTGATATATTCTTTTTTTTTTTTGTTTATTTTTTGTGGAGAAGATACAGATCTAGAAAGATTGATCAGGAAGCAATAGAGTTCGTTGCTCATCAAGTGGATAAAGTTTGGATAGGGACGGATGAAGTGTAGGCAATAAAAATCTATATCTATATATAGTTAAAAGTAAATCTTTCTAGCCAAATTTTCCCCCCAAAATTTAGAAGAAATTTCTATAATATCATTCATTATATATATATATATATATATATATATATATATATATATATATATATATATATATATATATATATATATATATATATAGGAAGAAGTACGTACTAGCACTTTTGTAATTTTACCAATATACAAATAAAGATGTAGGCAATGAGATATTGAGATTGAAGTACGTATTAGGAATTGAATAAAAAAATATTTTAATTTAGGTAATGGAGAGATTTTTAATTTTTTTTTACCAGAAGTTTATATGTTTTTCCTTATACAAATTTATAATTGTAAATTTATATTAATAATTTATTATTGTAAATTTATATTAATACAATGTAATAAAGTCAATAGCATTAATTCTTATAATTCAAACTAATTACTCAATTCAATAACATCAATTTAAACATATACGATGTACAAATTTATACTAAGGTAATTAATAAATTAAAACACAATATTACCGTGTACACAATATATTATATTAAATATTATAATTACAGTGTACAGTTTATTATTTTTTAAGCCGTGTAATTCAAACTAATTACTTAATTGCATAAAATCAACTATAACGGGTTACCATACATGTTACGTGTTCGTTTTTAGTAATTAATTAAATCAATTGAATCAAATTTATTTTAACATATACCATGTAATGATTTTTACTAAGATATATAATTGAATCAAACAGAATATTACCCCTTAGTTCAGATTAAGGTCATTTATTAATTAATATCAATATAATATATAAATTATTAAATATATAGATTTTAATTACTTTATAATATATAGATTAAATAAAACAAAATATTATTGTGTGCAAATTTTTATTAACGTAATTAATTAACAATTAATAAATTACTTTATAATATATAGATTATTAAATATGGTTAGATTTTTTGTAATATACTTATATTTTTACTAATTTAACTCTATATTGAGTTTATGTATGTGGTAAATGATCAAGGTGATTGGTAATTCTGATTTCTTCCCATTCTTAATTAATTAACCATATATAATTGTTATAATATATATATATATATTATAATTATCACCATATATTATTAAATATGGTAATCAGTAATCACCGTGTACATATTATTATATTTTAACATTTCACTTCATATAAATTACCGTGTATTGAAAGAAAACATGTTAGGAATATATATTATACTCACAATCATATATTATTAAATATGGTAATCACCATTTACATATTATTAGATCTTAGTAATTTTAGTAATTAAAAATTTCAAATCCTACAAAGAATCGTGAGTATTGTAATCGTTACCATACAAAGAAACCGAAATATATAAAAACATACAAAAACGAAATATATTAAAATATGATTATTATGATTATGATTCTAATTAGTTACCATACTAAAACATTCTCATTTGCTAACCATGTACAGACAATCGTAAATGATGTTGGATCATTTTGATCACACATTGAAAATGTTTGGAAAGATGAGCTCTTGAGCTCCTCTATATAATAGGAGCAATGCTCCTCTTACAAACATAATTGTTTGACCATCAATGTGGGCAAATAATGAGAAGTCCAAAGGCTCCTATTTTATTTTTGAGTACTATTGACCCGACAAATTATGCTGTGAAACTGTGTTTACCTTGCATGGTAGACACGTTTCCAAAATTGTTCATAATTATGAATATATATAGTTCTATAATTATGAACATAGTGTTGTGAACATAAATATGAACATATATGTATGTAATTATGAATATAGAGATTCAATAATTGTGAATATGAAGTTCAAAAATTATGAATATATAGCTTTATAATTATTAACATATAATTCAGTAATTATGAACATATAGTTATGTAATTGTGA